AAAAGTGAACATGTTGCATTGTTTTTTGTTGCATTGAGATTTAATTTCTTTTGATAGTATTTTTGAATACTATGCGTCTCTATACATAATTTAAATCACTTTTCCTGTTAAGTTTGTGTACTTACATACATTAAAATACGATTTTTCAAGTGTGCGAATATTTATTTTCCCCCACTGTAGATTGCTTATCTCCATCACAGACGGCAATGAATATACTACATTAAATGTTTGATCTCTTCCGTAAAAAAAGGACATGAACGGTCCCAAAAATAGCAGCTGTTCAAGCTCCGTGTCGACTCTTCATTGGATCACGTGGACGATGCGAGGATTTTTCCAGGAACCCGCGCCAGACACGTCAGCGGCTAGATCAAGAGCTGACAATGACTCTTGTTGCGCCAGCCACGTCAGCGGCTAGATCAAGAGCTGACAATGACTCTTGTTGCGCCAGCCACGTCAGCGGCTAGATCAAGAGCTGGCATTGACTTTCATTGTGCTGCCTCGCAGGTCACGTAGGCCCTGAGACGCATGGGTAAGAGCGCCCGATATTGCGACGGTGCGCATATCGACGACTTCATACGATCGATCGATGCATTGCCCGGTCGTCGGTAGTATATCTCTGAATTCTTAATATTAAAAAATAACCGTCAAAATATACGCTTTTTCGCCGTAAAAAATCTGTTTCTGAATGAATTTAAGGCGCTATGATAAATACACTCGTCAAAAAATATTGGATAAATTTTCAACATAGAAGCACAACTTGAACAGTAATGAAGAAAATGCCTCAAATAACAAAGATCAATATGAGTTTGCAGGTTCTGAACGAGCATCAGGTGTGAATGCAGAATTCCTGTGAGCTGTTAAGTGTAACATTGAACGAGCAAAGACAATAGTTGAGTGGCCCTGCGTACCAAGAATGCGTGACGACTGCGTCGCCTGAACAGCTCACGACAATAATGCGCTCCTCAGACCGCAACATGAGGCGACAACCTCGGCCTCAACGTTGAGGATAACCAACAGCAACTTTATGAGTCAGTTGCTTCATCCTCAAAGCCGACGTAACCGCAAACTAGTAGATTTATGTTATGTTTTGTCTTCATAAATTATAATAATGTTAGTATGTTATAAAGACGTTTACCTTGTGAATATCAGCTAAAAATTATCTGTTATCAGTGAATTTAAGTCAGTAATTACGACGTCACTCATTATTTAATAGAATAGAGCTGAATGTTAACTCATTGCGTGGCTGGTGGATAAAGTAAGTCGAGCGAGGTGTAGAACAGTAAATGCAATAACACACTCTATTTCACTGCATGAATGACTTGGGAGAAAAACGTCCTCGGCAGTAGACAAGGGAGCCTTTAGCAATACGTTTGCCACTATGTCAGTGTAGTTCGTTTTCTCCAATTTTAAGGGCGATGAAGTCGAACGCCTTCGAGCGTATACAGGTAAACGCGTTCTCAGACACATCGATCGGTTATAGAACAAATCGAGGAACTATCAAGCAGATCGGAGCTCATTCCGAAAGAACGCTAAGGTTTTTTTATTTCATGATCTTCTTGTTTTCTATTGCATGATCTCAAATCAATTACAATATTTTCACGTCATCGGACGTCTCTAGGAGGATTTCCGGATTTCGTTTGTTGAGCAGTATTTTTGACCATAAATGACAAGAAAATGTTGTACCTAAATAACGCTTTTCGTTAAGGGCTACTTAAACAGTACATAATTTTGTCCGCATTTCTTGCCGCTCATGAAAATGATCGCAGAGTCAACGTAAAATATTTCTTTTTTTTACGCTTTTTTCTAAAAACTGTCTTTCTCATTTTATATATGAATTGCCTTTAGATTTTTAAGTGGCCTTCGGGAAATAAATAGAGTACCGGTATTCGAATTCTTGTCTTTGTCCATAAAGAAATCCTGTTGAAAAACTACCATCAACTCAAGATACGAAGGATTTATCTTGGATAATTTTTTCCAAAACATTATTTAATAATTTTATTCAGATTGAAAATTCTGAGAAGAGAAAGTGAGCGCAGCAAGCAAGGCATCGTCACAAATCTCTGCAAGCTGCTTCAAAATTTACACGATTGTGTTAGTGCAACGACACTCGATCTATGCTTATTTATATACAATGAATTTAAATACAATGAATACATATATATAGGTACTAGCTTTACATGCAGTAAAACAAATTACCAAAATCTAATAAATCCTACGTAGGAACGGAGTATAGGTATACTTGTACAGTGAAGAAGCGGTGCCGCAATTTCTTATTTTCTTTATAGAAGATGGACTTCATTGCGAAAAAAATGAGTGAGTGTTCTAGGGTGTGAATGCAACTTGATGCGCAGCGGGCATTTCTCCTCTCAGCAGAAGCTGCAATAAAGCACAAGTGCAGGCCGAAAGGTTCAGCAATTCAGCAATAAAACACAAGTGCAGGCCGAAAGGTTCAGCAATAAAGCACAAGTGCAGGCCGAAAGGTTCAGCAATAAAGCAGGAGGGCCAGCCGAGGGCTGAAATAAGCACTACAGATCGTCTCGAGCAGTCGATTTTATGGGCACCGAATGCCTCCTCATGAACAGAAAGAAAGAATCGAGACTCGTGAAATTGCTGAGTCACCTCATCTCGAGTGAACGCAGGAGTCAGTAAATAGTGAAGGTAAATATTGAAATTTTCTTATATCGTTGAATAAAAATTAAAATAATTAGTAGTCAGGCAAAATCAATTTTATTTAGTACTTCACGATAATTTACCCATAAAAAATCAGAAGATTAAAAAAAATCGTGAATGGACAGTTATGAAAATAGACGACCACCCTTTCAGTCGTCTATTGGACATGTTGGATCGGATCAAAGTTAAACTGGTATTTATGTTTAGCAGCTCGTGCGATTAACTCTCATTAATAGATTGACGCATTCATTAAATATGTAGCTATTAACATATCTAAAATAAATGCGGCAGCCAGAAACTAAGGATGATGACGGCTGAAAATATGCTGGATCTAAATATAAAAACATTCTAGGCGATAGCAAAAGTCACTTGGGCATGCATGCTGGACTCTTAATTATTGTTCATGAGTTGATTCAACGAAGAGAAGGTTTACGTATCAATGGGAATTCAAATTTTAAAATATTAGTAACATATCTGATGGTCCTGCACATGATTCATAATTATAGCTCTGCCATTATTTCAACGCATTTCTTAATTAATTCCTTTTTTACGATTGAGATGTTATATCGCTGGTTTTATAACGAAATATTAATTGTGGTAAGTTTGATAGGAAAAGAATTGTGGACAACATAACAGGCCGATTGGATAACAGGAACTGCACTTAGTGAACTAATGCAACAGCTAACAATACAATCAATCAACATAAGAAGTTCCCGAAAAGCCGAGACTCTTACGTCTTGCGAAATAAGACGTTAAACTCGAAATGTGGGGTGTGGTTTTAGGAAATGATTGATGTTATTCGATGATTAATGACTTCAGCAGCGCTCCAAAAATGGCAACTTTCCAGAAGCTCAGGCATAGACGTTAACTCTGATGTTGGACTCACTAATTGCAGCCTCGAAACTCTGACAAATGATGCTGTGGAAAAGTGCAAAACTCTCGGTCCCCAGAAATTAGCATAGCAAACACTCGGAGAGAATGGACCTCCTGGCAGAATGTGTGGCTACTCCTGTGTCATGAGTGATGGCGACTACACTGTCATGTATAAATGACCCGACGTAAGAATTTGGTATTGAATGAAAAATAAGCCTAAGTTGATACCTTAATTTCAGTTATAGCTTGCAAGAAGTGATTTCTACTTAGTATGTTTATGAATAAATTTTTTCATTGTTCTAAATGAGAAAAACTACATGAAATGAGCTAATTCAGTCACAACACTAACGTCGGGTGATCATAGAAAGTGAAATGCCTGTATTGCCAGGAACACACAAGCCTCTGGCAAGTAAACACACGTGCCTATACATGCTGGGGTCGTACAAGCTATTAATAAAAGATCAGGCAGTCCCAGTAAACAAGGAGAAGGTGGACCAGCCCACATAAAAGCTGCTTTACATGCAAGCGTCTTATCTTACAACGAATGACCACACGCAAAGATCTATTCACTCGCTGATTTGGGAAATGACAAAAACTTGACCCGCTCGGTCTGCCAAAAAGGTCAAACCATTATTTCTGATTAAGTATCATTACCTAGATACCCGCATCAACTGTTTGGTATCATTACCTAGATACCCGCATGAGCGGTTTAGTATCATTAGATCCCAGCATCAACTGTTTACGATCTTCTTGAATAAACTTTCCTCATTTGGATCAGTCACATTCGTTGAAATTCTTTGTTCCTGAAATTATTCGGGATAGTTTTCACAACGTTAATTAATAGGCGCTTTGTATCATTATCAAAGTTATGTAACAATAAGCAGCATTATCTAAGCCGGGACATTTGAGAAAATTTTATGACATTGGGGCGTCTTGAAGTGAGCAGCAACGACAGAGACTGAGCAGTAACCGCGATAACGAGCGAGCCTGACGCTCTGCTGAGAAGCATCCAAGAATCACGACAAAACGCGACACGACTAATAAAAAGAATACAGGGATGTCGCATCCGGTTCTTGATAGTCCCAAAATCGAATTTTTTACACATCGGACTGAGAGAAAGCGAGAGAGGAAGAAAGAAAAGGAGAAAAGAATGATGAACGATGGACGTCCTATTTTTTCCTAATTGACGGAGCAAGAAAGAGAGAAGGAGCTAATAATGATTTTTATTTTCTTGGCCGAGCAAAAAAGAGCGCAACGCGGAACAAAAATACAGATCCGACGATTCTAGCGGGAGGCACTCATTTAAAAATGTAAATTTTGAAGAATCGGTTCCAGCGATTGAGCTGAAGACTGCACGAGTTCAGTGCCAATCTTAACCTTCTATCTCCTAATGAATTCAAGCATTTAACTGTAATGGAAAGGACACTAAAGAATTACTACAAAGTTATAGACAAATGTATGGAATTTTAAACAAGTTCTCAATAATCCAGTCATAAAAATTCATGACCTCTCAGATAACCCCTCACCGCGAGATCCTTTTCTTAATACAAGGGCTCGCTTATAAAGGACAAACCGAGGCGAGAATGAACAAGAACGGGAAAATAGCGACATTGATGGATGAGCTGCCACAGCCAAGAAAGTCTTTGCGTCAAATGTTGCATTAAAATACAATGAAGGCAACAGAAGATCAGAGGTGCGATGGTATCATGCTATGGATGGGGCAAAGGTGAACCTCCATGCATTGTAAAGAAGAAATAACCGCGCGACCCGTGTTCGTTATGGATTTATAAAGTTTTTGCAATGTATTCTAGAACTGACAATTAAACAATTAAGATGATCTGAAGCTGGTAATATTTACTCAATAGTGTGCGGACTCTTAGCCTTATTTATTTTCCCACCACAATCCGACGAGCTGAAAGACATCCTCGTCACCCACCTGAAGACTGGCTATGACGTGTCGTCTGGCGCGCTGGAAGACATCCTCGTCACCCACCTGAAGACTGGCTATGACGTGTCGTCTGGCGCGCTGGAAGACATCCTCGTCACCCACCTGAAGACTGGCTATGACGTGTCGTCTGGCGCGCTGGAAGACATCCTCGTCACCCACCTGAAGACNTATAATAATTTAATAGCAGACTTGACTAATCGCTGCAACAGGTATTATCTCTGGGTTACTACATTTGCTGTCTCTTATACACATCTAGATGTGTATAAGAGACAGTGGAAACATTAAGTTCTTAATATTACTGTGACATGGAAACATAAAGTTCTTAATATTACTGTGGCATGGGAATATAAAGTTCTTAATAATTCCATGGCGATCAAGGGATAGATGGAAATTTCTTTGGCAAATCAAAGCCGTCAGAGGAAATTTATTTTTGTGGGCTCAACGCTATCGAAGGTCTGCGTATTTATGTGGCATTAAAAAAATTTGATCAGCAAAAATTTAGCAGAAATGAAAATTCACCTCATATTCACCGAGAGAATTTTGCATTTTCTTTAGTTTTAAAATGTTGGGGAATTAGCGATTTAAGATGAATAATGGCACAAGTATTTTAAACAATCAAAGCATACTGCGTTTTCAAGTGAAAACAAAACGATCAGAGGATAATTGCTGTTGTTGAAACAAAACAGTTGAGCAGAATTGATGGAACAAAATTGTCTACAGTATTAGGTGTTCTTCAACAGGACTGAATAATGATCAAAATCAACTCATAAATGAGAAAGAGTTTTGGTCAGGAATAAATTTAGATTGAAAAGTTCTTTGTTTTTGATCAAAATCAACTACAAGATCCCGCTCGCTAAGATACATTTTACATTTTAGCATAAAACAGAATAAACTCCAAACGATATCTAAATGTTTCCAATACCGTTTTCTAGAGGCTGCATGAGCTCAACGGATGTCTATGCTGGCATAGAGGGGGTATTTCAACTTGTACAAAGTCCATAATTTCTACCGAGATAACAATAATAGATGATGACGTAACACAAGCCTAATTCTGACAGTAAAAGAATCTGAAGCAAAAACCTAAAATTATTCTCACAAAAATACATCTGTCCGGTGTACCTAATAATTTCGAGAATTCAGAGTTTTGGCTAATAAATGCTTTTATAATGCGATAGTAAAACGCGACATTAAATAATTTCTCATCTCCATAACTTGTTCAGTGAGATAAAGAGGAATTTACAACAACGGTTAATCTTTTTCCCGTTCCAAGTGGAACTACTAACGTCTTATCACACATTACCTACCTACTACGTTACATATAGCTGAGACTACGCAATGCGAGGAGGATGAATGCGAATATTTTTTACACTGAACTCTTCATATCAGGATGCCATCTTAAGGCAGAGCTTTCATGCCCAATCTCTGCATGTCTAGAAAGAGAGAAGCGAATTAGCAGGAAGGCATCTTGACAGGTCTAATGAACTTTGAGTCTTCCGTGCGCCATATATCATGAATACCTCAAGCTCATGGCCTGACGTGAGATTTATGCATGACTGACCACTGGTGATTACGGACAATCTAAAGTCTAGCAGAAGAGTAGCATCGGAAAAATGAATTTGAAAATGAATCGGAATTCCATTCAGTTCGGAATGCAGTGCACGAGAAGTCTATATGTTTTCCGGTTTTAATAATAGGATGCGACTATGCAGCGTGAAATAGCACTTTAGAAGCAAAGCACAAATTTCTCTTAAAAAATTGTGTTGAATGTGACAGATGACTTATCATGTTATTAATTTGCGTAGAATAAAAAATCTAATGAAAGAACTCTAAAGAGGAACTCTAGAGCGACTGGATGATGAGGGCGAGGCCCGAGATGGATGCCTGTGATGGAGGTGCGCCCTGCAATAAGGCGTCATCCATACATCGCGCTCACAAGGGGGCGACGTACACCTCAGTTTTAGTGCCTCTATTGCTCGCCACAAACCTACAGTGACGGATGAATGCCTCAGCTAGTGACACTCCCTATAAACACGGCGCTCTGTTTTGCCCGGTCTAATCAAGGAGAAAGTATGATGATGAAATTGAACTGCTGCCTCGTTCGGAGCGGTGTGACCTCAGATTAAGAACTTAAGAGCAGGAGCTCGTAAAATTATAGAGGTACAAGAAAGACATTGGGGACATAAAACATAAGTACTCACAAAGAAATAATTATGCAAATTATGTTTGTGTTTTGTTAGCAAACGATGTTTTCACCGGACAATCAGTTCTTTCCTGTAAGCCTCGTATTTCATACAGTAACCATACAAGGACATGTGCATGTAAATGAATGAACATGATTACTAGGCAAGACGTGATGAGATTGGATGGATTCAAATGAGAATAATAAAGAAAATTAAACTAAAGAAATTAAATTCAAGTGGAAGGAAGGACGGAAAATTGTAGAGTATGAAAAACCTTTGCCAGATCGTCTCCGGTTAGTGTGTTCTGTTAATCGCAATGGGGAGAATGTTCCTAATGGGGCTGAGCGTTGCTACAACCACTTCTAATTTATCAACGATTCTCAGGATATAATCTACTCACAAAACATCCTCTCAGGAGGCAGGATTTTGAGCACATGAGGAGTGGGGTGATTGTCCATGGGGATTCGTCGCGTATTGCGAGGAGGCATGTGCGGATCGTCGGGGTCTGCGAGGAACGTTCCGTTCTTGAACGACCTGAGCATGTTGAGGCGAGCTTCGCTGGTGCTGTACACGAACGATCCGTCTATCCATGACGTCACGTAGTTCAGCTGCGAACAAACACACAACACAACTGCATGAGAAACTTTATTTGTGACAAAATGAACATGGGATATTTTGCATGTTGCAAATGTTTTTGATCGGACTGGATAAAAAACTTTATTTGTGATCAAATAAACATGGTATGTTTTGTACGTAGCATGTGTTTTAATCGAACTGGATAAGAATATTTATTTGTGATAAAATGAACATGGTTTGTTTTGCATATTGAAAGTTTTTGATCAAAAGTTCGGCTATTTAAAAAGGTTTTGATGCAGCAGTAAACGTTTACTGGTTCGAACCGTGAGTTTAGATCAAACTGCCGTGTGACCTTCATAAATTTGCTAAGCATACTAATTTAGTGCTGGAAGCTTTCCCTTGATTCCTTTCCATTTTTTGGACGAAAAGAATATCGAAACGGAAGTCCCTCGTGCAAGTTGGTGTTTCCACGGTACGTTGGCTGACCGTAAGATGATGTAGGAAGGGAAGGTCCAAACCATACATCCAGCATAGTAACTTGGTCGCAAGAGAGACATCCGCAGTAAGATTTCACGGCCAAATGTGTAGTGTCTTACACGACCAAATATAAATGCAAAACAATCACAAGCAGGAAAAATCCCCGAAACCAGAAGAGCCACGTGAAGGGCTCGAAACCAGTACTTTTTGCCGATATTTTAGCACGACTTTAATCTGGTTACATAATGAGAACAACTATATGAACTAATGAGAGTTAATTTCCAATAACTCAGTGGGAACTAAAAATATCAAAACCGTAAAATTATTATCAAATAAAGAATAATTTCTATTTTTACTAGTCATCGGAAGCTTAGGTTTATACCAGAAAATTGAGCGAAAAAGTTAGACTGCGCTTGTGCTGCCGAACAAGAATTATTCTTTCTCGTCATAAAGCTAATAAGTGACAAGCATATTGCTGTGCTACGCCTGTAAACCACCATGCTGATATCCATCGTCTTAATTGAACGGAAAAAAGAAATTCGGTCGAAGTTCCATCACATAATGCAATCAAGTAAGTGGAAAGCGCAGGAATAACTTTCTAATTTTTAAAAATTGTATTTCTCAATGACACATTTTTGCAAGAAAGAAAACCGGGCACGATTGGTTTTAGTTATGAAAAAATTCTAAAAATTCTTCGATTCTCTAAAATAGACATTTTTTACGTTGCGACAAAAAATTTCACCTCTGTCCGCAGCGAGTGGTCGAGTTCATTTAAGTTGCTGAAGATTAGAAGAGTCTCCATAAATTGTACACAAATGGCATAGTATGTATGTTAATTTGGCAAGTTTAGGGTGCTACAGTGGCAAATAGTTTTTCAAGCGCATTGAATTAGCTGCAATCATGAACTGCCGACGAAGGGAAGATGCATGGACTCATCATTACTCACCATCAAGCAAGCAATGAAAAATGCACCTAAACCATTTGTCTTGGGAAATAAACGAAACAAACGCCAGTAATGAAGACACGGGGCTCGCTGTCGCAAGCGAGTTCACAGTCGAAGAAAAAAACCAAGCCTGTGCGAGTGAGAGAGCACATGCAAGTATTGGCAGGTCGTGGCTCCATAGAAGAAATTTATGATCAGTGGCGATTCACTGACGGTAATTTTGGCGATTTACTGCCACTGGATGGCAATAAGACGTCAAGCCGATTGCTCGTTACACCACAGCTTTGGCTCTTTAAAATAAAGTTACTATGGGGCTAGAAAGAGGGAGAGAGAGAGGCATGGGGGATGAAGAGTATCGAGCGGGCATTGATGGTCAGTGAGATCAGGAGATAGCTCGCTAAAGCAAATTTGAGCGCCAGATGATCATAAAGATACAATACATTGTGCACGGTAAGCTTAACTACAATAAATGATATTTCATTGCATGAACCATTATAGGACCGCAGGAAGTGAAATTAAGTACGAAAGTACGAGTCCTTCAAAAACATGTCGTTAAAGACACGCTCCTTTGCACGGCAGGAACATCTGCATGTCAGCCTCATTACCAAGCAAGAAGGTGATGAGAATGAACTGGCGAGATAATGATGACCTGTTGTCGTGGCAAGTTGTAAACGCATTCACTTAATTGGCATCTCGAGAGAAATATATTACTTGTTTGCAGCAGCCCAGCGTTAAAAATGTAGGCTTATGAAACATGGACAACAATTTAGGAGTTCAGTTCAAATATGTGACTATGTACCGTTGTTCGCCGAAAACCGAAGTCCGCTTTTGGTACCTCAACATAATTGTCTCTCTCACTCTTGGAAATTATACGAATATTTTTTTCACGCAGAAAGAAAACAGCTTACAGTCTTACGCATTGAAAACTCTCTATATTGCGTGATTCCATCAATCCCCTGTATCCAACACTCGAGCGTCCATTTGATTTGGCGATATCAACGACAACACCTCATATCGTTGTACGTAATCAACGACAACACCTCATATCGTTGCACGTAATCAACGACAACACCTCATATCGTTGTACGTAATCAACGACAACACCTCATATCGTTGTACGTAATCAACGACAACACCTCATATCGTTGTAGGTAATCCAGGCCGACACACTTTGAGGCACACACCTATACGAGCACAGGAGATGTTGAACACTTCCCCCAGCAGTGTTTTATCTCAAATATTAGAATACATGTAATTTTTCTTGTCGTCACCTTGCGTGGTATGCAAGACGCAACAGGATTTATATTAGCAGCTACTTTTATAACTCAATTCAAATTAAAATGTTAGAAATATTTGAAACTGTGCTAACTATCCTGACGATCATTAAAACTTAAACGTAGCTATCTAGTTTGATCAGGGAAACAAATGGCTGCTAGGTATGGAGAAACATTATTCATTTGATTATTTCAGTAACCTTCACGAGTTTTCATTGAACTAAATAACCGAATTTAGTAAAATTTGGACAAGATGAAGTACATCATGGCCGTTACTACGGAAATTACTTAATGACTTTGCTTCTTCGCAGGAATTTTAGGTAATCGAGTTATCTTCAAGTTAAACCAATTTATATACACAGTAGCATATCCAATCGTCCCTAAACACATTTCAAATTTACACAGGCTCTAGAAGGCAACTGTAATAAAAGAAAATATTGTTGCTTACGGTCGTCATTGCACGATAATTATCATCTCACAGTAATCATCATATAATTAGGAGTCATTCAAGTAAAGTCGGCCTCGGCGGAACGTCTAGTTTCACTTCAGAGTCAAGATGCCAGAAAAACAGCTAAACCATCAACGGAATATCACGCAATGCATCCTCGTCTCCGCTGTGTAAGCTAAACATATTTTCTTATGGAGGATAATTACCAAGCTACAGTTTTTGTTCTTACGCTGTCAGCGCCGACAATCAAGAAGAGGCGTTCTGGTAACTACCTTACAGCGCTGCCGGCGATTCTGTTCCTTAAGATTGGTACGAGTGAAAACCATGGCAACTTTTTGGAGAAGGCCAAAATAGAAATCATATCACAAGCTAATTGTGTACCGAGAAAAAAAGCGGAAAGAGTTCGTAAATTGCTTTTAACCGAGCCAACGCAAATGGTTTCTTGAGTGTATAGAATGCATTCTAAGGAGAGATAGAAAGCATTTAGCGAATAGAGCAAAAAAAAAATATTTGGTCTGGAACAATTCAAGAGACATTCAACAAATGTCAAAATTAAACTACGACCTCATAAAATCCATACGCGTGAGTTGAAACAACCATTTATTTAAAGTCAAATTGAATAGATACAATAAAATACAAATTTCTAACTAGTATGAATACAAAGCAAAAAGAATTCACAGTAAAAATATAGTTAAAAATCAGAGAGGCTATCTCTTTTTCTTTTTTTTTTTTTTGTCTGAAACAACTTGGGAATTTCTTAGTGCCCGAATAGGCCACGCCTTTTGGCCCAGGGGGTAGAGAAACTGCCAGCACTGTAGGCCTCCCACCCCAGCCTCATCATTTGCAACTCAGCTAATACACTCAGCACCGCAAGCGCTTCTCTATTCACAGTGCAATGTTCCGCGTGGCCTTCATTATCATGAATCCTTGAGAATTCTCTCAACTTTGCTTTTGTGCAAGAACCATCACTAAAAATGTTATTGGCTTGCAACTTCACAATAATATATGACATTTTATTTTGGTTCTTGCGAGCTAAAATGTGAACATAAAAATACAATAGTATCAAAAAGGTGAGAAAGAAATAAATTGTGTATATTTTTGCATAATGTTTGAAATTATTTCAAGTAATTGGAGAGCAAAAATAACGAGACAACTGCTGTCCTTTTAATGACGATACGAAGACCCTAGCACGTCCTAACGAAGACCCTAGCACGTCCTAACGAAGACCCTAGCACGTCCTAACGAAGACCCTGTCACCCTAGCACGTCCTAACAAGACCCTAGCACGTCGTAACGAAGGCGCTTGCAGGCCTGCAAGTCATGTAACAAATTGATCCGAATTCTTCAAATTTAGATTTTAAAACTAAATGAAAACATCGTTAAATAAAGCATTACGTGAAAAAGTATCACAGTCATTTAACAAAACAAGAAAGGCATCGCCAGAATCAGATGCAGAAACCGATAGTTAATTTATTTAAACTATATAGCATATACAATCGAAACAAATAATTTCGACATCGGAGTAAGAGGTTTATGAAATACGTAATTACAATATTTTCACATTAATGATGTTCTTGATGATGATTAATGTTTCACATTAATGATGTTCTTGGCAGCAATATCAAACTAAAAGCTTTACGCGTTCACTCTACGTATTACGCGACATCGCTTGCCGCTTTTAAAAGATGGCCTTTCAGTGCGACACAAATGACGGAGGCGTTCAAACGTCCCCTAATGGGCTGTGTTATAGTGCGACCTAATACTAGTAATACTAGTTAATTGGCTCCACTATAGAGACCTAATACTAGTAAATTAGCACCATTACTGTAGCCTAATAATAGTAATACATGTTGTACCGACCCGTGTTTTGCGCAGAAGAAAAATATCCGAAATTGGAAAGAAAGTACTTAGGAAACCAAGCTAATAAATATTTTATTCTCGCGATTACATTTTTACAAACGTCTCAAAAAGTACTTAATTATTTTGAAATATAAGGAGGAAAACATGACTCGGAAATTCGCGATTAAAAACAGCGATTTTGATTCACGAGATTCGTTATGAGAAAACAGCTATTTAGATTCACCAAGATTAGCGATTAGAAACAGCGATTCAGATTCAACAAGATTCGTGATGAGAAACAGCGATTTAGATTCCCTAAGATTAGTCATGAGGAACAGTGATTTACAGTAGATTCACCAAGATTCGTGATAAGGAACAGCGATAAATTCAAGTACATAAATATTCGTAATGATCATAAGCAACGATTTAACTGCACAGAGATTCAGGATTCGTAAGAACGATTTACCTGCACGAAATTTCGAGATTAGGCACAGCGATTTAAATGCAAGAAGATGGATAGGGCAGGATAGGGATGCAAGGGATGGATAGGGATTCGTGGGCTCAGCTTAGGAAGCTGTCAGTGATTGGCTGATAAACTTTTATATCACATAACCAAGAGTAGTTAGGAACTAGTTAGGAGTTATTTCCTAAAAGTAGTGAGGAACTAGTAACTATTTTCGATGGTACGTACGTTCCTTGATCCCAGTATTGGTTACTGGACTTAGGCTAATGCAACGACGAAAACCTGCCTCGTTGTGAAGGATGCTGTGGCCACCATCCACTTCTTCGTCGCTATCTCATACGACAAGAAGGCTTACTAACATAACATAAAAGATTACAATTATGAGCAATACCTGTTCCCTGGGGTTGTTGGGGCTCTGGCCAGTGTTGCGGTCGTATCCTGCCCTCTTGAAGGGGATATAGCGACCGCCTTTACACTCTTTGTCGAACATCTCGTCGCATTGTTCGATGGGGATCTTGTGGAGCTCTATAGGACAGCCTGCCTCCGACGCCTGCAAGATCTCCGAGGACACAACTTGACCTGCACAATGAAAAAATCAAGCGTTACAAGCCGGGACAATTTTTAGAAATTTGATCAACTACTCAGCTTTGGAAAAAAAGGGCCGATTTTTGATACATTTTAGTTGAGTTTGAATTGTAAAAGATCCACAAACAATAATAAAAGTATTAATAAGAAATTTAGGAACTGACCAAAAAGTATTTTAATACCGTTCTTGAGAACACTTGTGTTAAAATTTCAGTATGTATGAACAAGAACAAGAAAATTATGAATAACCAATAATCAAATGCTCATAATTATGGAGACAAAATTTGCCTAAACCGATCGACAATCATCATACTGACACCCCCCAAACTGAGCTGCAGACCATCATACCAACAGACCCCGACTGAGCGGCAGACCATCATACCAACAGACCCCGACTGAGCGGCAGACCATCATACCAACAGACCCCGACTGAGCGGCAGACCATCATACCAACAGACCCCAACTGAGCGGCAGACCATCATACCAACAGACCCCAACTGAGCGGCAGACCATCATACCAACAGACCCCAACTGAGCGGCAGACCATCATACCAACAG